CTGAAGCCTTAAAACCTGAACAGCATGAGAAATGTGTAACCTTTGGAGAATGCTGGAACCGACGTGAATGTTTCAGAGCCAGCCTCTATTCTTAGAAGAGTGGTGAAAGTCATAATTTAAAAATAAGATCCAGTGCAGTGCTAGCAAAGAGTCATATTTGTGGTATTCCTGTGAGTAGATCTCTCAACATGAATTGGCTTGACTTCAAGCTCAGAAACGCTCCACCAAAATAAGGCCCAGCTGTGAGGCGTCCGTAGTACTGGCCTGAATGGGAGAGAAGTACACATGGCACTTGCTACATCAGGTGCTCTCAATGGGGTGGGTGACCACTTCCCTTCCTTCCCCCCAAAACTCATGCCTGTAGTTTTCTCGTGTTACAGGTCAAACAGGAGCTTTTCAAGGGCCTCTGTAGGAGTTAGGCAATGCAAGTGGTGAAATTGGATGTATATATTCCCCCTTTTGGAAATCCCCCCGGGTACTTAGGTGGCTGCTGTTGTTCTGCTGTCTGGTGGGGAATAGATGCTGCCTTTACAGCCGTTTCTGTGTGTATTTACCTCTGTCCTCCTCCTTGTTTCTGGTTGGCATCTAGGCTACCTAGTACTGTGTTTTAACTAGGAATCTCTAGATGTCTTAACATATTCCCTTTTAGGATTGTGTGTAGTAAACAAAGGGCCAATTTCACTCTGGCTTTGAGCGGGGATGGCCACAGATCTATGCTCATGGGTTAGAGCTAGGATGACCTGTGTGGGGAGCATCTGATTCATCATCATTTTATCGGGAGAAGAAACACAGAACTAGTTGTATTCAAATCCTGTTCATCTGCTGCTTCAGTGCTGTTTGGATTTTGAGGTTTCTCTCAGAAACCTCAGTCATTTTTTACAGCCACAACTGGATGTAATCCTTTCCCGTTTGGGTCATGCAGAATTTTTCCAATAGCTGTAACTGAGAGAAGCTGAGACCTTAAAGTTTCCTCTTGCATTTACTGAGGTCAATGGGAACTTTAGTTAGGATCATGCCAACAAGCGAAACACTGGATCTCATAATAACATATCTCTGGAGCTGATCTGGTGGTTTTACTCACCATGTAACCCTCACCCATGAATCCCGTCCCACTGGAGTGAACTGAAGCGCGTGTGTGAGTTACACTGCTGACGGGCTGTTTTATCCTATGCAAAAGTGATCAGCCACCTGTGTCTCATGGCCTGGCCGTAAGGTCTGAGTCGTGCCTGTTAACTCCTGAGGCTTACACTGCCCAGTGATGTCAGCGGGAGTCTTGCATGAGTAAGCAAGCTATTCTTTCCTCTAATGAAGTTATTTGATTGTTCTGTATACTGCATTTAAACTGCAAAGGAGTTTTACACAAGCTGCTACCAAAGCCATACATCTCATTCCAAAGTTTCACACTGCAGTTTTATGAGGGAAAGATTATGAGGTAAAGAGTTAGCAACATCTGAAAAACGGTCAGAAGATAAAAGAAGCCAGAAGTTAAAGAAGTCAAGAGGGTGTGTAATGAGCATTAATAATTCGGATAAAAGACAGAACAACCTAGTGAAGATTTCATGTTTTATTGTTATTAAAAGTTCATTATGAAATTGGCACAACACATAAAAATAGATCTGTGGTGAATGATACATACTACTATTATTGCCAGGTCATTTCGTGCACACCCTCGCTTTTTAAAATCAGAAGGTAACGAATATAAGACATTTCATTGGCTAACTGCGAAACCGGTGTTACTGCAGCAGAGAGAGGCTGTGCTTTCTGTTGGCTCTATCAAATGGATAAAGCAGACAGAAATAGTCCTCTATTCATACTTAAAAATAAATTCAGGAGAATGAAAGAACAGATTTTTAGGGTATGCCCCAGCTGAAAATAACTGGAGAGGTAGAGCTAGAAATACCCCTTTTCCTATGGACCTATTTCCATGAAAGTCAAAGGGATTTTTGCCATGGATTTTAAAAGCAGCAGGATATAGTTATTTGTTGACAGACAGATGGAGAGGCCTAGCAACAGAAGCTAGGGAGGACCTGTGGCAAAGTGTGAGTTTATTATTTTGATCTTGCACATGCTGCTGAATCTCCTTGTTGTAGTAATTGTGTATGTTCATAACAGCAGTGATTGCTGGGAGGAGCTGGGAGGGTGTATCAAAGCCAGATAAAGCGTCTGCAGCTCATTTTTTCTCCCCGTTTGGGTTGGCTTTGGTTCTAACCCCACACACCATTCATTGCAAAGTGACTTACCCGTACGCTTTCTGATCCACGTGAGAAAATCAGAACAATATCCATGATTACAAAAAATCTCACCAGGTCACTAACTGTTCCTAGACTTGTGTAGCTTTTCTTCCTAACTTCTGTGCTTATCACAGTGAGCATTTAGGGCTGCCCTCAGCCTGACTCTTATTCCTCATACATCAATTCCAGGGGTGCTGGGAGGTTGCTTAGAGCCGCCACAAACTGGCTCAGCAGAATTGCGGTTCTGCAGTTTTCTGCATGGAAAGGTCACTGTAACCAGCCTCAGTGCAGAAAGCAGTGCTGTGGATTTCTGTGGGGAGCACTTCTCGTGGATGGGAGGCAAGATGAGCCCCTCAAATACACTGCTTCAATGTCTGGGGGAAAAAAATACCTTAGCGGGATGGCTACTCGTAAATTTTCCTGTTATTTATTTGCGAGCCTCTTTTAAAGAAGGCAAGTAGGAACATGAACCCATTCATGCTTTCCAAACTTGTAAGCAACGCTGTTTTTTTGCTGTGTGTCCTGGTATGGGGTTGCAGAAGGTGGCAGCTAACTATGTATGTGGCAAATGCCCATCCGTGGGAAACTGTCACGCAGCTCCACAGCCTGTGCTCTTGGCTGGCTCTGAAATGCCCACTACCTCCCTCTGAACTCGTGCTCTGTTAGGACCACAGCATGTCATGCTACCCCAACCCTACTACCAAGCTTGAGAGCGCTGTGGCTACTCTGTTCTTGTTTCCTCCACAGTGAATAGTTTTAAATCCCGGAAGATAAAAATCTCAGTGCTGCTCTCTTACATTAAAATCTTAGGGCTTCAGTCTCAGCCTCACAGCAGGAGAGTGACAGGGGTGGAAAGCTGGCACAGCAGAATGGTGAATCAGGCTCTCCCTTTGGTTTTCAGGCTGTTTACTCAAAACAGCCCTTGAGAAAGATGCTATGCCTCAAGCAGATGTCACATTCAACCGGTTTAGCAGTATTACGCCTATTTCTTCTCAAGCTAGTCAAGGAGGGGAGGAAGAATATAATATATGTTAGTGCAAGTTCACATAGACAACCTATGAATATTTAGTACAAAATGTTCTTTCAAGGTGGGGCAAACATTTCTAATTGTGACACAAAAAGAAGGTATTTTGTAACATTTTTAACAACTCAGCTGTGAAAAAGCGTTTATGTGAAATATGTTTAGACACAGACTACCTCACATGATACTGAAGTATTTCAAGGCTCTTTCTGAGTAGGCAATAACCTATTTTTTTCTTTTTTTTTTCATTAAATCAGCTTTATCACAGCCAATTCCAAACATGACTAAATAATTTGGTCATGTTTTTGTCGTTGGTGATTTTACTTTTTCCTCTTTGGAAAAAATAAAGCTATGCTAAGTTGAGGGATTCCACTCCACATGGGTTTTACCCATTCAAGGCTTCTTTCATTTCAGAATTAATTTCCTCATTCAGAGGAAACCACAGAAATATTCAGCTAATAAATTCTAGAATAAGATTTCAAAAGTTGGTTCACATACTCACTTAGTCCTGAAGAATTGCAGCTTCCAAGAAGCTCACAGACTACTTGTCCCTACTGAAAAACATTTTGAAAACCTGGCCCAATTTGGAAACAGTCTTATTTCAGGTCTGGTAGGGTATATATCCAAAACAGAGGATCTGAATAATCCCTAAATTATGGAGACCAAAGAATTCAGATACAAATTTTGCAGCACGGTCTCCCATCTTAAACGTTTGGATTTGGCTCAAAGTCCAACTGAACAGAAAAGTTTAAGGCCTCAGTTTTCTCTGACTTACACCGCACATCAGAGTGTTCAGCAGTAGCTTCTGAACGCGGTCAGCCAGCGTAAACCAAGCATGCGTGCAACAGCCATTGGATATGTAGACATCATCCTTCCTTCGCCTGCCATAGCCTGGTACTGCCCAAGAGCAAAAGAAAAATAAAAAGGCTTCCAAGCTGGTGTTAGACAGACAAATAGATGTGGAAGCCGTAACTGTGACTTTCTGCCCTTTCCTGAGCTCTCAGCCAAACCACAACCCATCAGAAGTGGGTTCATAGCCCTTCTTGCCTCGAAGCCTGGCTCAGAAACCACAACAGGGCAGAATCAGGTGGTGGGCGCTGTGGTTGGTGGAGTTATGCAAAGGCAAAACCAGAATCGGGTTCAAAAAAGCATTTTCCCGAGACAGAAAACTACTAGAGCAGGAAGAAATGGGAGTGCCCAGTAGAGCGGGTGGGAACAGAGGCAGGGCAGTATCATTGGGCCGTGCTCCTGACAAAGACGCCGCTGACATGGTGGTGCATCGAGTTCATCTCAGCATCCCTGGCCTAGGTGCTGTGCTGTGCCAAGCCAAGCAGGACAGGAAAAGTCCGAGGGCTGCGCTAAGCTACTCCCGCTACCAGGAATCCCAAGCAGCTGAAAATGCAAGTCAGCCAAATCCCCTTTTTCTGGGCTACAGTAAAGGCATGGAGGGGAAATCTCTACTGGCGTTGTGCTGTCAGGGAGATCCCTTTTGGTTTTGTGCTACTGTAGGGTCATGGTGCTACTTACTCTCTCCAGCCTCCTACTTTATGGCCCACTAGACTAGCAGGACAGCCTAAGGCAACGGCACTGCATCAGCAAACCTGGCTTTACATATCTAGTTGGAGAAAGCGCTACGCAGGGAGGGTGCTAAATACCTTTCCAAACAGAATTCATCTTCTGCCTGCATCTGCTTTGGAACCATAGAGCATTTCCAAGCTGGAGAAAAATCCAAACACCTCATGTAGAAGCACCTTTCCCTTGGATTTTTATTATCATCATCATAATTTTTAAGAATATATTTTGTACCGAAACACTGTCAGCATTCTTTATACAATGGAAAATGACACAGTCATCATGTATCATATGAAAGAGTAAAAACAGAGCAAGACAGGAACATTTCATCTGGAGTACAAATAGAATCTGATGTACAACTTAAAAGCCACACACCAGATAAAAAGATCATCTGGAAAACAACAGGTTCTCTCTTAATTTGGAAAAAGGAGGAAAAGTCAGGGAATGTCAATGTTAAGGCTAAAAATTCCATTTTTAACTTGTATTTTGTAGGTGGCAGCCCGATTCTTAACTCATCTGCAGCAGCAGCAACACCCCCCTGGCTTTACAAAAGAGATTTGCACTTGCATGAAATAATAATCAGGCTTCTATGCTCGGAGGACTCTGATTGACCTCAACAGGCTTTGGACTAGAGCCACAGTTGGAATTTCAGCTTGCAGTCTAAGGCTTCTTAACTGCAGGCCAAATTAGCGCAAAATGAGGCTTTGCAACTGGCATTCTACCCTTAACTTTGGATATTCCAGTTCTGGTTGCTTTAAACCACAGCTTTATTACAAGTTTAACATAGTTCTGTTTGTGAGATTCTTCTCTCTCTCTCTTTTTTTTTTTTTTTAAATACTGTGCTACAAAGGATGTTTTTGTATTCTGTGTCTTAGAAAGTCCCTATATTACATGTTTTCAAAATTGCCTAAATATATGTTTATATCATGATTATAACTACTCAGAAAGACTTGCTATAGTCTATTGTGAGCAGCCAAGGAAAAAAGTGTATTTAGTCCTAAAGAAGTCAAGAAAAGTGGCTGTGTTCATTTATAGTGTAGCGCAATGACTGTGTTTATACAGCTATACCTACTATTTAAAAAGCTACTTGAGAAGTTATTATTCATGTGCAGTAGCTGATTTTCAAGCATTAATAACTTGGCTGTCTAGACAAGTTTTAATTGTCATATCAAAGGCCGAATATGTTCTCAAACAAGTGCAAAAAATCTCCCATCTCCCTTGGAAAGAGGTTGGTTCTCTTTCTGAACTAAGAGACTGCCAAATTTAACTTTTTCTCAGGTTATAAAAGTACAGTTAAACCTACAAATTTGCTGTTTAAGTTTTTAAAACGGATCAACTTTAACTCAAACCTATCCTGTGCAGCAAAGTTAGTAAGCCCTGAAAAACAGTTTCTAGTGAATATGCAAAGAGTTCCCCCCACCCCCACCAACTACCATGCCCACATTTTCCCAGGGCCTAGAGGGCTCCATTAAAATGTAACTAAATGTTCAATAGGAAACATGATTTTTCAAGAATCGTATGTAAAGTTTACCCAAAGAACCTAAGACATTTTGTACATTCAAAATGTTTACACTTTGCTGTTCTTAACCATCAGTAAGATTGTTCATTTTTACTAATAATACATACAATGAGTATAAATAAATAAACTACAGATAAGCTTTAAAAATTGTATTAACAATACATTGTGCAAAAACTCGTAACGATCTACATTCTATGCAAATACCCTGACTAAAATATACAGGCTGTGTCCTCACACCCTCATTCAGTTTTTGCACAGTCCTTGGGCCAAATCAGCGGCTGGGAGCAATCAGGAAAATTCCATTGCAAGCCATGGAGGTAATGCTGATTTACACCAGCAGAAGAGCTGACCCCTGGGCGTGTGCAAAAATCCCATAGAAATCAGTGGGAATTGTGCTTGACTAAGGACTAGACAGTTTGATTGTACCCCGTTAAAGTGAGTGGGAGTTTTGCCATTGATTTCCATGGAACCAGGCTCAGGCCCCGGGTAAGGACATCAGCACGTGGCCCTATGTTGTGCTACACTACTCCACTTCAGTGCAGAAACAGTATTTGCAAAAGAAAACTTTTTTTTGTTGTCACTGCTGTTCGGTTTTAGCGCTGCATTTCAGAAATTGCCTTTCTGTGAGATTTGAAACAAGACTGCAAGTCTTTCTGAATCCATTCCAATTAGCTTATCCAGCACAGGTGGGCTATTCTGATCCAAGAAAAATGGCTCAATGTCTATTAACCAACAATGTTCTTCATTAGGATAAACAACAGCCCGGTTCATCGGCACAGGAGTGAAGAACTGCAAGCGGAAAAGGAACGGGGCAGCCTTCCTACCATAGCTGTGTCCAGAGCCGGCTGTCACTTCTCCAAACGGACGATGGCACCTGAGCCGGTTTGGAATCTGCAGTCCTAAAAAGCTCAGCCAAGTTTTGTAAGCTGAAGATCTCCATTTATCTTTATCGTGTCAATTGCTGACAGTGTTTCAATACGGTGGTAAAAATCAAAAAGCTGATGTCCATCCACAAATATTCTAAAACGGGGATGCTCGCAAAGTATCTCAACCTGTAAAAATAAAATGATGAAGCATGTTGTTCAGTGTAACTGGGAAGTTACTTCACAGAATACAAAAAGCACTCCATTAGCCTTCAGGTAGTGTTGATGCGGTTACACATTTTGCTACTTATGTGCCACTTAACAGGCAGGGCTGAGACCAGTTTGCCTCCATGACACCAAGTTACACTATGATGGATCTGGTCTTACTTCACAGGGACGTTAATCCAATCTCACACTGTCATGACAGGAAGGACTCTGGAACCCAGTCCCACTGGCATCGGGGGGGGGGTCCCTCTTGGAATAATGCCAGAAACAGACTCAAACTGCTAATTACAGGGGGAAGAAATTGTATCTCCAACCCAAATCTTGCATTCCTTGCTACAGAATTTTTTTTGCTGCAGAATGAGGGGACAGTTCCCTCTGCAATGCTTTCCACACTTCCATTAATTTACTGGAAGGGAGCAAACACAAGAGGAGGGATAGATTTGCCCTCCCCCCCCCTCATACTCACACAGCTGCTGCAAAACTAAAAAGCCTTCACTACTGTGGCTGCAGACAGCCCGGGACTCCCTGTTGGACTAGACTCCATGCTGGGGCTGCAGTGAGGGAAATGCGGTGCAGGATGGCTTGAATTCAGCTAGGCAGTTCGCACGAGGCACAAACAGGATCAGGGAGGGCCACAGCTCATCCCTCCTCCTACAGCCCTGCAGAAATGCTCTGGAAAAGCAACAAAGCCTGGAGCTGAACAGGCTTGGACAGGTCAGGAGATTCCTGATGTTAGGGGTGGCTTGAGAAGATGCCCTGTAGTTAAGCTTTGCTGCAGCTGCCCCGGCAGGAAGCAGGGATACGAGGGCACAGAACATGCGCTTCTCGTACAGGCCCTCGGAGACCTCCAGGTCCAGACAGGCTAAGAAGAAAATCTGCAGGGAAGCCACATGTAAATCCTGGGTCATTTCAAGAGGCTGGTAGTCTGGAGTGAAGTGCTGCTTCCAGGCACTTGACTGTGCTGCTATTACAGCGTATAAAAATGGGAACGGGGCCAGTGATAAACTGAGTGAGCCAAAGCCTGACTGACTTAGGGCACGTTGCAGTGGGAGAAGCAGCAGCAGACAGTCCAGGAGAGCTTAAGCTCCTGGGGACCTGGTAGCACACCACATAACAGGGAAGCGCCTGTGCTGCCACGTCGCTCCTGTGTCACTGCGGCAGGCGCATCCAGCCTTAGGCCTTGTTATGTAAAAGATATGGTTAGCCTCAACACTGCTTACGATCCATGTCAGATCACCCTGGGCCACGCCAGAACGATAATTGGACTGGATCACAAGTAATTGGCAAGAACACTTAATAGTCTAATTCATTCAGTGAGAGGGAGACCATCAAAGGTACAAAGTCAATTGGGAGCCTAAATTCCATTTGTGCAGTTGGGGAAAAAAGAGGGAAAAAAAAAAGAAGAAAAAGAACAACAACTCCCTTTCTATAGTATCTCATGCCAAACATGCAATATTGCTGTCCTCGAACGTCAACTGTCATTAGTGGGACACCCACAAAACATGCTCTGGGTAATTTGTCTGGCTTGTCTGAGGGCCCAGCCACCACCCACCGCAGCCGGCAGTATAACCCTCTCAGCCAGAGCAGGACCAAGCCTCCAAGCCCTTTCAAGTGCATTTCCCACACGCACCAAAGGGTGTTGCCAGTTCTGATGGGAGAGTTTGTAGAAGCAAGTAGAGCGCAACCAATGCGCAGCAAAACCAGTCATAAACACCCTCTCAAAGCCCAAGCATCTGGGGAGACAGTGAGCTTTTGGGGTTGGGGGAGATTATCTTGGGGGCAAGAAGGATTAAGAGAGTTTGGCAGCTGGTCAGAGCATTGGCATTTAGCAGAGGGGCCAGCGAGGTTTCGTAAGAGGGGCGGGGAGGAGGAGGAGGGTTTTTCTGGGTCAGCCGCATGGAGAAGGCATGCAGCCTTTTTTCCTCAACGTTGTGAAGCCGCTGAGAGAGAAGCAGCCCTCTGCAGCTGCATACATTCTTAGTCCTGATTTGCAAAGACATCTTCACATAACCATAAACACTACAGATGGGAATTTGCTTCTAGGTCAATCCAGTCCATCCCTTGCACCACAGCATTTCCACGTACACCATTTTCAAGTGACTACAGACTTAAATTTGACAGGAGATTTAATCCTAGGGTTCAGAAAAGAATACCACTATTGCTTAGCTGTTTAATCTGCTAACACGAAGGGCTATGGTCAACCTCAGCGTAACATCCCTGGAGACAAAGGATGAACAAGATCCTTATTAGCTGCACTAAATTGCAAACACTATGTCCATTAAAAAAGCCATCAAAACATATGGCAGTCCCACAAAGTATTTACATTCTTCAGTAATAACTTGTAATGCACTAATAACATAGAGGTACTTTTTAATTTATAGCTATAAAACTAAGCTGAGGAAGTGTGCTTCATCACACGGTATTACAACCTCCGACTTGTCATAGCACCGCGGTGAGGTGTTCACAGCCCCATCCGAACTGCCTGCAGTCGCAGGCAGCACCGGGACTCCGCGCAACTTCTGATCGATACAAACAATCCGGCAACCGGTGTCTCAACCAGAGAAGTGTGGGCTACACTGTGATTTCCCGAGAGGCAAGTCAGGTTCTGCTACGACTCTGATCATATTACACTTTATCAGATACGGCGCATGCCACTGTCATCCTGGTACTCACCCTAAAAGGCTGGTCTGGTATAAATGGAAAGTAAGGAATAGACGATTGCTCTTCCCCCCATTCGCCGGCTACACATGAGTTTCTGACAAACTGTCTGTCTGTAAACACGGCTTTCAGTTCAATAGCTACATCCGCAGGAGGATCTTCCGACTCCCCGCAAGTCAGACTGATGCCAAAGCTGCAACACAAACAGAATGGCTCTCCTTCAGCCAGAAACAAGCAAATAAGCCCCAAATGCCGCCGGTTTCATTTCTCAGCTTATTAAAGCCATTGATAGAATAGCAGCATGGGGAGGGGTGACAGCTCAGGTCGTTCGGGGAATGCTCTGAAAGCTCAGCAGGGACAAGAACATGGTTATAGCATATATATATGTGTGTGTGTGTGTGTGTGTGCATGTGCATGTTCATATGCTCTATATGCTCCTTTACTCCCAAGTGAAATGTTGGGAAACAGGCTCCTTTAAAGAAATGCCCCCTCTATGGGTCAAAGGAGAAATCAGCACGCTATATTTAAAATGATAAAAATAATCCCCCTCTAGAAAGGAGGGATCCGTGTGTATGTGTGTGTTTGTGCGTGTGGCCTCCCCCCCTCGCCCCCTCCCCCCCGGGCCCAGCGCCCCCGGGGCGGGCAGCCCTGCCCGGGTGTTACCTCTCGGGGTTGAGGTCCACTATGGCCATAACTAAGATCTTCTTTCCCGGCCTCATTCCTCCTTTGATGTGCCCACAGAAGGGGACGATCTGGAAAGGACAGGGGGGAGGGTGGCGAGGGTCACTCGGCATCAGTAGCGGCCGCCG